TTTTGGCAGCTGCTCAGGCTGGGCCCAGAGACCCCGCTGGAGAGGGAGAGGAGGCCCGCCTGCCCAGGCATCCCAAGGAAAGCCAGGGCTCAGCTGCTGTCTCCAGAAAGTCCTGGCCAAATAGCTCTGTGAGTCATACTCCCAGCTGCTGTCCCATGTTCCCATCAGATTGCGTTTCCCCTCTATCCCAGGCTACTTCTTCCTGGTTCTCCCAAACTGGCTCGCTTCCCTCCTACCCCTCACCTCAACTTAGCCTCTTCCAGAACAGAGAGGGAGAAGGCACCTGACAGACATCTCCCCATCGCCCTGGAAGGGTGGGAGCACCCAAAAAACACAGAATGATGGAATTGGAGGGTTGGTGGGGACCCATGGAGGGGTCCCCCCCCGGAACGCATCTCCAACCCGTGGCCATCAGCCAACACGTCTGCCTGTGGCCGTGTGCCTCTCCACCTTCAGACGGCTCTCATTTTAGGAGGCTTTTCCTGACCACGACGCCTAGATCCGCCTTCTTGTGATTTCTACACAGTGCTCTTGGCAGATCTCTGGACCCAGACAGAATACGCCCAGTCACTCATTTATACAAACAACCCTCAGACACCTGACGCCAGTTGTCCTGGTCTCTTCTCCAGCCTAAACACCCTGATTCCTTCAACCCATCTTCAATATATCGCGGAAAGGTCCTTCACCCTCCTGGTGGCCTCCTCTGCAATGTTTTTCCTAAACCCTGGTGCCCAGTACTGGACACACACACAAAGATGTGACCTGACTCGGGCAGAGGACAGTCGGGCTGTCTCTTCTTTATTTCCCAGAGCTTAGACTCTCCTGTTGCCCCCCAAATCACTTTAGGACTTTTTTTGCTGACAACTTTTGTTGAGTTTCCCCACACAATACTCCCCAGATGTCTTCAGAAAACTATTGTCCATGGAAGGGTGTGTTGGAGCCAGCTGAACCAGCTTGGGAGAGCTGGTTGTTAAATTTTCTTTCTTTCTTTTTTTTTTGGAGGCAGTAAGATTAAATGACTTGTCCAGGGTCACAGAGCTAGTAAATGTGGGAGGCTGGATTTGAACTCAGGTCCTTCTGACTCCAGGGCTGGTGAACTATCCACTATGCCACCTAGCTTCCCCCAATTGTTAAATTTTCATTGTGAGCATTTCAATCTCAGAAATCTGAAAATGCTACAAATCAGGGCTTGATTTGTTTTGCTGATTGCCTAGACTTAAGAAAGTAATGGAGAAAATATTAATAATGTAGGTTAAATTTAAGAGTGGGTCCTGCATACATTTTGGGGGGGAGAGGCAGTTGTTAAACATTAACTAGAACAGTCCTGCACCCACCTCTCCCCTATCCTGTGAAGCGAATTTCTTTAATCCAACTCTAAGACTCTACATGGAGCTAGGGGGCGCCATATTGTACACGGCACTGGGCCTGGAGTCAGGAAGACTCTTTTTCAGGAGTTCAAATACTGCCTCAGACACTTACTAGCTGTGTCACCCTGGGCAAGTCACTTAACCCTATTGGCCTCAGTTTCCTTATCTGTAAAATGAGCTGGAGAAGAAAATGGCAAACCACTCCAGTATCTGCCAAGAAAACCCCAAATGGGGTCACAAAGAGTCGGACACGACTGAAACATCTGAACAGCAACAAAAGACTTTACCTTTAACCCTATTAAATTTCATCTTATTAGATTCATACAAGGGAGGGCAGCACTCACCAAACAGCCACTAACCGTGTAACTTCATGTCAGTAACTTAACCTTTTGGAGCCTCAGTCTCCTAATCTGTAAAATTAAGGGGCTCAGTGATTTCTGAGGGCCTTTCCTGCTTTGCCTTTCATGAGATATTGTAAACTTGGAGTCAGGAAGACTGTAACATAGGGGGCAAGAATAGTTTACTCCCTCCCTCACGAGGCTGATGTAAGGAGCCAATAAGGCAGCTTTCGAGAGTGCTTTGAAAACTTTAAATGTTATTATCTGTAAATGATGATTAGCACAGAGGATGGGGTTGGGAGAAGAGTTTGAGGAGAGACCATAGCCCTCAAGGGGTTGTTTGGCCCTTCTCCCCAGAAATAATTTTGTACACGCCTTTAATTTTCTATGTAAATGTTGTTTCCTCTCAATAGAATGGAAGCTTCCCGAGGGAAGGTGCTTTTTCGTCCTGTCTTTGAACCCTAGCACCGAGCACATGTAGTGGCTGCTTAGAAAATGCTTGTTGAATTTCATTGAATTGTATGAAAACTAGAAATAAAGAAAGAACCCACCCACTGAGGCCTGACCAAACACACAGGGAGGCATGAATGGAATGGAAGAGTATTGGGCCATGAGACACCCCCCCCAAAATGGGAAGCATTCAGGGAAACTTGGAAAGGCCTGTCGAACTGGAGCAAGCAGAACCAGAAACAGGATACACAGAGATTACAGTGATAAAGCCCAATCTTGGCTTCTTCTCTTCACTGGCAAAGGGGACCTGTGGGCGTGGAATGGTGCATATGCTGTCAGGCACATGTCCCTGATTTTATCTTCTTCTTCTTCTTCTTCTTTTTTTTTTTTTTTTTTTTTTTGTTGCTTTTTGGTGAGGCAATCGGGGTTAAGTGACTTGCCCTGGGTCACACAGCTAGTAAGTGTCTGAGCTTCCCGACTCCAGGTCCATCCCTCTATCCCCTGCACCACCTCGCTGCCCCTGATTTTATCTTTAGGTGGTGCAGGGGATAGAAGGATGGACCTGGAGTCGGGAAGCTCAGACACTTACTGGCTATATGACCCTGGGCAAGTCACTTCACCTCTGCCTACCTCAGTCTCCTCATCTGTAAAATGGGGATAGCAGTGTTGTTGTGAGGATCCAATGAGACATTTGGAGAAGTGCTTAGCACATAGTAGGTATCATGTAAATGCTTATTCCCTCCTTCCTACAGCACCTTGCTGATTGCTGGATTGACTGATAGCTCTCAGTCCCTCTCTGCCACATCTGCCCACTCCTTTGCCCCAGTTTCCCTGCCCCATGTTTTGTCTTACCTCCATTAGGTAGAAGAACCGGTGGGGGAGGTGGCACCAGAATGCTGGGGCCCCCCAGGTCCTGTCTGCTCACTAGAAAGTCGCTGGTGGGCTTCTTGGCCGAGGTGGGCTCCCGGGCCCGACTGGCCCGACTGGAACAGGCCGCCTGCCTCACCTCGTCTACCACGGCTGTGTCCCGGCGAGGCGGAGTCAGGGTGATGAAGATGGAGGAGGCCATCCTCTTCCCCGACTTCCCAGCCATCATCTCCCTCCTGAGCAAAGAGAAGAGTTAATGGCCTGGGGCTGGGGAAATGAGCCTCTCCCAGCTCTCACCCCTTCCCACTGCCCAGATCTGCCTAACACCCCTGTGTGATCATGACTCCTCTGCTCAGAAACCTTCCATGGCTCCCTCTTGCCAAGGGGATAAAGAACAAACTACTGGTCCTGATGTTCAAGCAGCTACCTGGAATGATCAGGGTAGTCTGTGAGGATCAAATGACAGATTATTTGGAAAGTAGTACCTGGCACAGAGCAGATGCTTAATATTAATTAATTAATTAATATTAAGCTTCCTTCTCTCCCTCCCCCCTTTCTTCCCTTCTCCCTCCCTTCTTTCCTCCCTCCCTTCCTTCCTTTTTTCCTTCTTTCCTTACTCTCTCCTTCTTTCTTCCTTCTCTTTCCTTTCTTCTTCCCTCCTTCCTTCCCCCTTCTTCTTTCTTTCCTTCCTTCCTTCCTTCCTTCCACAATCTGGCTCCGATCTACCTGCCCTCCCTTATCTCATAGCACAAGCCCTCACATATTCTATGTTCCAGACAAACAGTAACATTTTCTATCCCCTATTCTTGTCCTGTCCTCTTCCATCTTCCTCCTTTTTCCCATCTGTTGAATTCCTTCCTTTCTCTCAAGGCCCAAATCTTGAGATGCTGACTCCTCCAGGAAGTCTTCCCTGATCATTTACCTTCTCACATTCCACTTTCTACCACGCTTGGGTTAGATCATAAGCTGCTTCTGACGGTAGGAGCATTGTCATTTTTTTTCCCATTAAAAACAACAACAACAACAGCCCCGCCCCCGCACGAAGCACAGTGCTTTGTATTTAGGAGAATGATGAAGCTAGGGGCCATGATTTCCTCCCCAGTGCATGTCAGCCTCTTCTCTATAACTCAGCGTCTAATCTGGGCTTGGTAAACATTTAGTGAGTTGATTTCAATTCTCCTGCTCTCAGGCTGGTAGCAGTCTTGCTTCAGGAGAGCCCAAGCTGCAGGACTATATGCACAAGTTCCAACACGCCAGCACACACATGTGCAGATTCAGACACATGCAAGCTCTGATGGATTCCAGGGCTCTTCCCTTAAGGAAGACAGAAGCATCGCTCCTCCAAAACTGCTGTCCCTGATGCACAGCTGTGCAGTCCTGGGCAAATCACTTTGCCTGACATAGCCTTGGTTTTCTCATCTGTAAAATGGGGATAATACTACCTGCACTGCCGTGACTTGCAAGCACTGGGTAAACTGCAGAAAGTCAAAGTTAAATGTGAGCTGGGCACTTCAATACAATAAACGGTGAAATACCCTACTGTGTGCATAGTACTGTGCTTGATGCTAGGGCTAATCAGCACAGTTCCTCCCCTCAAAAAACTTGGGGGAGATGTAGTGTAGTTAAAAAACAAACAAATAAACAGACACTGAATTTAGAGTCAGAAAACCTGGATTCAAAACCCAGGTCTAGATATTTACTAGATCTATGACCTTAGTTGGGGCTGCTAGGGGGCACCATAGTGGATAGAGCACTGGGCCTGGAATCAGGAAGACTCATCTTCCAGAGTTCAAATCCAACCTCAGACACTTATAAGTTGTGTGATCCTGGGCAAGTCACTAAACCCTCTTTGCCTCAGTTTCCTCATCTGTAAAATGAGCTGGAGAAGGAAATGGCAAACCACTCTAGTATCTTTGCCAAGAAAACCCCAAATGGTCACAAAGAATCAGAGATGACTGAAATAACTGAACAAGGACAAATGACCTTAGTTTCCCCTCCTGGGTCTCATTTTCCTCATAAGTAAAATGAATGGGTTGAATTTTTTTTTTGGCAGTCTGGCTTCTCAGTGGTTTGTAGATAAAGGGCTAGTCCTCAGGTCAGGAAGACCCAAGTTCGAATCCAGCCTCAGGCATTTGCTAGCTGTGTGACCCTGGTCAAGTCACTTAACCTCTATCTGCCTTGGTTTCTCCATCTGCAAAGTAGGGATAATAATAGCAAGGTTGATGTGAAGTTCACATGAGATAATAATTATAAATTGTTTACCAATTATTATTCCCAGAATACCTTTTTTCTTAGTTCATAATTGAAAAACATGTGAAATTTCAGTTAGAAGTTAGTGAAAATAAAGATGTAAATTTTTTTCTGTCTAAGTTCACAGACCCCTTGAATTCTAGGTGATGAATCCCTAGACTAAAAGATGTCTAAAATCCCTTCTAGCTCTGACATTCTGTGTTCTAAGATCCTTCCAAGGTACAACAATTTACATCAGGGGAGGGGAGCCTGCTGCCTTGAGGCCCATGTGGTCCTCTAGGTCCTCAAGTGCGGCCCTTCAGTCACATGGGCCTCGAGGCAGCAGGCTCCCCTCCCCTGGTCTATGTTATAAGCTCCTTCTAATTCTGATTTTCAATGTTTTCAGGCTCCTCTCAGGGCTAATACTCTATATTCTGAGATTCTTTCTAGCCCTAAATCAATTGTCATCATAAAGAAAGGAAGTATAGTGTGGTGGGGGGAGGTGCTCAGTTTGTCATTGTTAAAAAAAAAATGGTCCCAGGGTGGGAACTTCCCAATGCAGATTGTGAATCATCTCTCACTTTATAGATAAGTTTTAGGGAGTTGACCAAGACAGGTAGAAGTCAGGTGACTTCCCCAGGGTCAAATAGCTAAGTAAAGGTCAGAGGCAGGTTCTGAAGTCAGGTCTACTTCATTGCTCTGAATCCCTAAGACTCTATTATTGGGGCAGCTGGGTGATGCAGTAGATAGAACACCAGTCCTGGAGTCAGAAGGACCTGAGTTCAAATCTGACCTCAGACATTTAGCTAATGACCCTGGGCAAGTCACTTAACCCAATTGGCTAAAAAAAAAAGATTCTATTATCAGGTTACAGTTGCCTTCAATGGTGTGGGGCAGGGGAAGAAATACACAGGCATAAAATTATTATTTCCTTTGATTTATTCATTCCCCTCCTAAGGGGCAGGAGATTTCTCTGTTCTTGCCTTCTTCCCTTTGTCTTTCTAAAGAATGAAACAGGAGCCATAAACTGACCAACTGAGGTTCCGAGGAAGCCAGGGCCAGGGGAGGGGGGAACACCAGGATGTGGGAATGGGACACAGAAACCCTGCTCCCTGCCCATTCTACCTACCTGGTCAGATAGAGCAAAGGGCAGCCACTCCCTGCTCACCATATTAATGATTGATCTCTCTTCCATCCAGGATCTCAGGAGAAGGAAGGGCTCTGCTGGCTGGAGGCAAGAGTCCCAGCCCCTCCCCAGCCTCCCGACACAATCTAACACACACACCCAAGAACAGATGTCTACTTAACCCCAGCCCTGCCTGAGGATTCCCACCCTGGACTTACAGACTTTTCCTGGTCTCCCTCCCTGGTCAGTGATGTTCTGCTGAGGAGATTCCAATGGTCCAAGAGTAATTTGAGATGGGAATCAGGGTTCAGGAAGACATTCTAGGGGAGAGAATAAGCAGATGTTGAGTTTTCTGGTTGCAGGAGAATGTTCCCAGAATCACCTACATCTAGGGACTTACAGCTATTGGCCCAGGTCCCAGGAACCCCAAGGGCTAGGAATTATAAGAGGTCTTTGAACAGAAGCACAGAACACCAGAGTGGATAGGAGCTGGGGGACTACCTAGTCCCCCGAAACAAAAATTCCTCCTAAAACATTCCTGACAAGTCAAAGGACCTGGATTCAAATTCCACTTCTGATGCTACCTGTGTGACCTTGTCACAACCTCCCTCAGCCTTAGTTTTCTCACCTACAATGTGAGGGGATTCGACTAGGTGGTCTTTACTGTCCCTTTCAGATTTAGATCTATGATCCTATGGTTTCCAGCCTTTTATTTAAAGCAGGAATGAGGAACCTGCAGCCCTAGGTCACATGTGGCTTTTTAGGTCCTTGGGCGCCGCCTTTTGACTGAGTCCAACTTTTACAAAACCAATCCTTTTATGAAAGGGATTTGTTCTATGAAGTTGAGGTTGCAGGTTCCCCACGTTTGGTTTAAAGTCTTCTAGTGACAGGACTCACTACTCCCTAAAGCAATGTGTTTTCACTTTTGCTCAGCTCTTTTCGTTGTCATTTTTTAGTTGCGTCCAACTCTTTGTTGGCCCATTTGGGATTCTCTTGGCAGAGATACTGGAGTGGTTTCCTATTTCCTTCTCCAGCTCATTTTACAGATGAGGAAACTGAGGCAAACAGAGTTAAGTGACTTGCCCAAGGTCACATAGCCAGTAAGTGTTAGGAGTTTTTTTTTCCCTTACATGGAGCTGACATTGGTCTCGCTATAATTTTCCCCCCCATTGCTCCTGTTCAAGTTTATTGATCAAGTTTAATCTCCATATGATATTCTTCCATATAACAATCCTTGAACTATTTGAAGACAGTGATCACCGTCCACAGAATCTTCCACTTAGGATGTGGTCTCCAGAGGTGGGGAAACAGAGAACTGAGGCCTGATACCTGATACAGAGGGTTCAGGGGAAGGAACTGCAACTCACACCAGGAACACAGGAATCCTGGGTCCTACCCAGTCCTGCTTAGGCTCTTAACCTCACTCCCTAGTAGAGGCCCAGTGTGTGCGCTTGGTGTAATAACCATAATAATAACTGGCACTGATGTAGAGCCCTTCAAGGTTTGCAAAGCACTTTATATCATCTCATTTGATCCTTACAACAATCAGGTGAGGGAGTGCTATTGCTATCCCAAACTACAGCTGAAGAAACTGAGTTAGAGAGAAGTTAAGCAGATGTGCATCTCTTTCTCCTCTCTTTCTCTCTCCCTCCCTCTTCTTTTCTTTCTCTCCTCCCTTGTTCTTCTCTCTCCCCTTTCCCTCCCTCTTCCTCCTCCTCTCTCTCTTTCTCTGTCTCTGTCTCTCTCCTCTCTCATTCTCTATCTCTGTCTTTCTCTGTGTGTCTTTCTCTGCCTGTTTCTGTTTCTCTCTCTCTGTCTCTGTCCCCCTCTCCACCTCTCCTCTCCTCTCTCTCTCTCTCTCTCTCTCACACACACACACACACACACACACACACACACACACACACACACACCTCACACTACACAGCAAGCAAATACCTTAGCCCAGAATCTGACTGAGGTCTCTTGACTTCAAGGCCAGCATTCTTGCCATAGAAGGAAGGAAGGAAGAAAGAAAGAAAATAAGCATTTAGTAAGCACCCACTGTGTACCAGGCACTGTACTAAGTAAGCACTTTCACAGAGCGACAAGAAGTTGGGTTGGCTACACGGGCCAGCAGATACCTCAGAAAGACCTGCCCTATCTAGCATCTTAGGCGTGGGTCTACACCTGGGGCCAGTGTTACACTGCAGTGGCATGGGGACCCAACCCAATGGGTGGTTGTGATAAAGAGTAAATGGTGTGTCCAGGAAGAAGCAGTCTGGCCACAGGGGAACGTCTCAAGAGCAGCCCTACTTGTGGGGAAGTTGGGATGGAAGGAAAACCTAAACTCTCAGAATAGCAGGGATATGCTGGAGCCAGTCGGTTATGGATTATTCAATTTTCTACATGATCATTTTGTGCCTGGGAAATCAGCAAATGTCACAAATCAGAACTTATTTTACTGTTTTTGATTGTCTAGATTTAAGAAAGTGATGGAGGAAATGTTTAAAATGCAGATGACACGTAAAAGTGTTCCCTGCATATCTTTCTCCCCCTGAAGAGCCCGTTGTTAAACATTGACCAGCACCCCCTTGACTGTAGGCCTGGGGAAAAGGCCCAAAATGTAATTTCCAGGCTGTTCCATCTGAAGTTCCGTTCTTAGCTTCCATTTCTATATGGCTTTAAGGTATGGATAGTACTTTCCTCACCACAGTCCTGTCAAGAAACTGAGGCTCAGATTGTCAATGATTTTCCCAAATTCACTCAGATAGTAAGTGTCAGAAGCAGTATTTGAACACCAAGGTCTGCATCCCAGCTACTGCCTGTGTGACCTTAGGCAAATACAGCACTTCAGCTCTCTGGTTCTCGGTTTCCTAAAAATGAGAGGAGGGTTGGACTCAGCCCAAGGTCTTGGCCTGCTCTAAATCTATGAGGCTATGACCCTATGAATCTGAGCTTGGAATTCTAAGTGTCTGCAGGGTGACTTTCAGCGACGGGGTGTTTTAATTAAGGGTGTGTTTTCATTGGATGATGTAGAGACCCCAAATTCTCAAATGCCCCAGGCCTGAAAATTGCTCTATGCAACTGTACCCATTGGGAAAGCTACAGAGAGGCTCAAGAGAACTGTTTTAAAGTCATTGAGAACTGAGCTCCTCCTCTCGGGAGATGATGATCAAACCGGTCAGCCCTAAGATGTTGGAAAGGGCACCAGATCTAGAGTCAGAAGACCTGGGTTCAAATCTCAGAATCTGCTACCTCTTAGCTGTGTGACCTTCTCTAAGCCTACATTCCTTATCTGAAAAAGAGAGTCCTTTTTCCAGTTCTGGTGAATACATAAACTCTTTAACAGCCTTACCTTAAGCCTTTCTTCTGGTCCCCTTCACCCCCAAGCAAGGTCTAGACTGACCCTCATCCACCCAAATCCGTTAATGGGCATCTACATACACAGAGAGAGAGAGAGAGAGAGAGAGAGAGAGAGAGAGAGAGAGAGAGAGGGAGAGAGAGAGGCACACACATACCCTCTCTGGGAAAATCATTCTTACTAGATTTCTTTAGAAAAACTGAACAGCAGCCTGGGGGCAGAGGAATCCAGCCCTGCAACCCAGATGCTGACAGCTGTGCAAACCCACTCCCCCTTCTCCTGCTCTCCCCCTTCTCTGTGCCTTGCTTGTGGTTACTGGTGGAGAAGGCAGTCCCCATGGGAACAATGAGCTTGGAATTTTCAAAGCCCATTCCGACCGAGACCCTTCTGCAGAGCTAGAGGCCTGACCCCATTTGGGGCCTGGGGGTGGGGAGAACCCTACCTCCCTCCATGGTCATCCCCTGAATTCTGTGGAAGGGGAGTGGCGGTGGTGTGGTCAGACCCTATCCTCTCCCTCCTTTAAAGGGCCAGACTTCTCTGGGAAAGAGTCTCTCCCCAGCAGGCAGTATCTTACCCCATGGCTGGGGATCTGAACAAACTCCACCTTGACCTGGAACACTTCACATCCCCCCACCCTCCCAGCTCTTCCTCTGATGGACTAAACGGATATCCAGTTTGGGGGTGGAGAAGGAGAAAGTAGGAACAAAGAAAAGGAAAGTCATTTCCTGCCCAGATGAAGGAAGAGAGAGACCAGACCCAAACGGGCTGGGACACAGAGCCTCAGGGCTCCGTCCAGGGTGGAAGGAGGAGCTGGTGTCGGCAGGAGCAGGACGCATTACATCCCCCACCCTCAAAGAAGGCGAAATCACCAGGGGACCTAGCAGGTCGGGGGGTGGTGGGGAGGCTATCCTGGTCACTTGCTTTGCCAATGCCTAACAGCATGGGTTTTTTTTTTTTTTCAGGTTCCCCCTGAAAGTCTGTAGCTTGATGCAGTCTGTATGTTTTAGTGACTTAAAAAGCATTTTGGTGTGAGCCCAAATTGGGTCATGGAGTTGGGAAAAAAAGGAACTCAGAACTACCCTCCTCCCCCTAAGCCTCCTTTTAAAAGAGGCATTTGTAAAACCATTTAGCACAGTGCCTGGCACATAGTAGGCACTTATATAAATGCTTATTCCCTCCTCCCTCCCCCTTTCCCCATTCCTACCCTCCCTTATTTTTCCTAGAACTGGGCTTCCCTTCATGGTCCCCCCCCAACATACAAACACATACACGCGTAAACCAAGTCAGGCACTCATCCCCATCAGGATAAACAAGGAGCAAAGGAACCACACGGTGCCTGAGAGCTAGTCTAGAGAAATCAAGTGGGGAAAGCCTTCTCTTCCCATCTTCCAGTCATAAGCCCAGGGTTCGAATCCTCCATTCTGCCACTCACTCCCATTTCAATTGTGCTAAAAAGTTCTGACTTTTACAAAGTACTTTCTCACAAGTACTTTGTGAGGGATGTAGTCCATGTATGGAATTATTTCCATTTTCCAGATGTGAATAACTGAGGCTCAGAGAAGCAAAGGGACTTGCCTGGATTCCCACTAAAGGTACATAATCGAATCCAGGTCTCTTTCTACAACATTATTGCCTCCACAATTAACAGCTGCCGGACCTCAGCTAAGTCACTTTAGCTCCCAGACTCAGTCTACTTCTCTGTAAAATGTGCATAATGATAGACTACAGTGAAGGAAAACGCCATTTAAATGCTTGTTAATTGATTGATTGGTTCTATAAATGAGAGACAGGAAGGTGTGAGAAGGGAAGAGGTGTGGAATAGTCAGCACAGTGCCTGGGACCTAGTAAGTGATAAATAAATGCTTTAATTTAATCACTGGGAGGCATGAGGGTGTTTCTTTACACAAGTGAAAGACTATGTGTGAGGACATTTTGTATGTTGTCAGACTCGGCTGATGGTTTAGTAAGTTTTGATAAATTCATCTTTTTTCTCCTCCTTTTTATTCTTTGTTACAAGGAGGAATGATTGTATTTGGAAATGAAAGTGATGTAAAAACAAAAGATATCAAACATACACACACACCAAGGTGGTGGAGTTGGGGCTGGGGAGGGTGGCAAAGCTTGGGTGGTTAACAGAGTACTCCAGAAGGGGCACATATCCAGTACTTTGGGCTGCTCAGGTCCTGTCCCGGGGGACGGGCTAGGGTTTAATCTTCTGTGATAATTAGGAGTCACAAAAATAGCCTTTCCCTGGCCTCTCCTTCCACTCAGCAGAGCTCGAGGGTGGATGGGAGGCCCTCAGCAGCTGGGCAATGTTCACTGACTGTTCCACTTCTTGCCCTAAACCTCAGGGGGAGGGTGGGTACAGACATGATGGAGTGAGGAGCAGGGAGAGGGGATCCCCTGCCTGACTACCGTAGGGGAAAAAGTCCTGAATTTGGGGGAGTTCTAGCTCTGCTGCTTTGTGCCCCTTACGTATGATATGCCTTTTCTGGGTCTCAGTTTCCCCACCTGTAAAATGAAGGAGTTGTACTCGATGTCGTCTGCAATTGCTCCAGTTTAAAATTCTATCATCTACAAAGAAGTCAGGGAGCCCTTTGGAAGGCATCTGTCCCCTAGCTCCTTGGGGGCTGGTTCTGATCCCAGGCATCTTTGAAGGTCCTATGCTGTGGACAGAGCTGACCTGCTTTTCTGCCTTTCCACAAACTCTCTCCCCACCCAACCAGGGAGGGGGACGGGGTGTCCCAGGGATGAGCGGCACCCAGTCCTTGCCCAGGGAACAAGGAGGACGGGAGGCTATCCTTTGAAGGGACTATAGAAGCTTTTGAACCCCGCCCCCACACCTACCCTTTCACTTCACTTCTCTTCTCCCTCCCTCCCCCTCTCCCATCTTCTCCCCTCCCTCCCTCCCTCCCCCCATGAGTGTAGGGATTGGAACCAGGCAGAGTCCCAGGGTCTGGATTTAGAAGCAGATGCTTGGGCTTGATGTAGCAGGAGAGCTTTGGATTTACAATTAGAGGACCTGGGTTTAAATCCCCACTGGGCAAGTCACTAAAACCCTCTGTGCCTCAGTTTCCTTGTCTGTAAAGTGAAAAAGTTGGCTTAGAAGACTTCGAAGGGCTCTTTTAGCTCGAAATCTTATTGTTGGGTTGGGCTGGGGGGTGTCTCTGTACGGAGACAGGGGCGATTCCTCTGCCATCGGTAAGAAGCTGGGTAGGGTGCCTGCTGATGCTTGGGCAGCTGAGGTCAGCAGGGCACTGGTGCTGCCATTCACCCCCCTTCCTGCCCTTGGGGCAAGCATTATCTCCTACCTCCTCGACGTCCCTCCCTGGGCCGGTTCTTCCCCCGGTCCCGGGCACCACTCGGGACAGATTCCGCCGGCTTTGTCCGTCTCTGTCTTTCAGAGATTCTCCCCCAGGCCCCTTCTTCCCCCCTCCCCCGATCCCGAGGGGAGCTGGGGCTCGAACCTGCGGCCCTGCAAGCCGCCGGACCTCCCCACTGTTCCACTACCGCCGCGGAGTCCCCATTGTTCGGCTCACCTGAGCTCCTGGCGCCGCCAGTCCCGGACGCCCTCTCCGGCAGCCCCGCAGTGCCTTCTGCCCCGGTCAGGGAGGTAAGCGAGCCTCCCCGCTGACATCACAGCCCCTTCCTTTCTCCCGGCCCCCAGCCTGCCAGCCTCCCTCCCTCCCTCTTCTCCTCCCCTCTCTCCCTCCCTCCCTCCCTCTCCTCCTCCTCTCCTTCCCTCCCCCACTTCTTTCTCTTCCTCCCTCTTTCCCAGACGGTCCCACAGCAATCCCTTTACCATAAAAGGTGAAAGCCTTCTAGGGGGAACCTCTGACAGGAAACAACTCCTTTACCTGCCCCTGGGGCTCAGCACCCGGCTCCCCCTGCCCCAACACTCCCTTCCTCTCCCCTACCCTGACTTTGCTCAGAAATTTTCTCTAGCCTTCTTTCCCTTTGTCCCTTCCCCCTCTCCCTTTCTTTGGCCTGTCTTGCCCCTTTTCTTAGGTTGGGATTGTTGATTGGCCAGACGCAGGTAGGGTGGAGGAGTTCCACCCCCCAAGTGCTGTCCTACCCCCTCGGATGGTTGCCTAGTCCCACGCTGACCCCCTTCCCAGCTGCTGACTGTCCCAAGAGTCCTGGTCCCTATTGTCTGCTTGGAGGTGTGATTTCCTTTCCCCAGGGGCGAGGACCTGGGTGAGAGCCAGCAGGCTGAACCCAAAGCTGGGAATCAGGTCGCCTGGGTTTTCTACCTCCCTGAGTTCTCTGTGAATCCTCACCTCCTGCCACCACACCCGATTTGCCCCCATAAATGACCTGTAAAGGGGGCCTACACGCTCCCTGGACCTCCCCAGCCCTGAAAGAGACAGAGAATGGGGGCCTGATTCAGGCTGGAAAGAGAGATGGTCTGCAGTCCCGCTGAAGGCCTCATGGGGCCACAGGCTAAGAACCATGTGGGGCCAGTGGAAGGGACAAGGGACACCTCTTCTCCAGAGGCCTGGTGAGCCCTGAGCAAAGCAGCCAGAACAAGAAATCTGAGTCCAATTTAGATGTAAACAATAACTTCCGCCTTGGTGCTCCCTGATTAAAACCACATAGCTGCAGCTACTGGTGAAGCTGCCCTTACCCATCCCAGGAACCCCCTCCACTGATCTGCTGCCTGGGAGTTAGCAGGGCAGGACTCTCCCCCACCAACAACGGCAGAGACATACCCCTTAAAGAGACCCTTAAAGTCACCCCAGGCTTAGGAGACCTCCCTGATTGTCCACCCCTTCCAAGGGATGCCCTTTCCTGACTCCCTTCAGTCCAGAGGGCCAGAGATCTGCAACTCAAAGGGACCTTACAGGCTCTCTGGTCCAAATGTCTAATTTTACAGAGGAGGAAACTGAGGTCACTCTAACTTCATAGTTGTCAGAGGCAGGATTTGAATCCAGGTCCCCTAATTCCAAAATCTGCTCTTTCTATTATATCACACCACCTCCCATAAAAAGGCTTGGACCAGGAACTGAACCCAGGCTTCTTGCATGACAGGAGAATTCCAGCAAGAAACTGCTCATGCATAAATCCAAGGTGTGGGGATTTATTTATCTACATACATCCTGTCTCCCCTAGTACAAGGATATTTCTTAAGCACTGACAGGTACTACTTCATTTTGTCTTTGTATCTTCAAAGCACTTAGCTCAGAGCCTGGCATATAAAGATTAATAAATGATTGTTGAATTGAACTGAAATGAGGGCCAGATATCCCACTGACTTCCATCTTCTCCCCCTCCATCTCTTCTGTGTACCTATTTACAGGTTGTCTCCCCATTAGGGGGAGGAGAGGAGGCCCTGTTTTTGCCCTTTTTTGTATCCCCGGGACTTAGCACAATGCCTAGCACTTAATAAGCATTTGTCAACTGACTGTTTAATGACTTGACCTCTATCTGTCAAAGGGGCACACCTTCTATCCCTCATCCACTATATGTCCTCTTCTTTGTCTGACTTTCAAAATCTATTCTACAAAGCCATCACTTTGGGTCTCTATTTTCTCCCCAAGTTTCCCAGGGTCTGTAAGTTTTCCATTCTTGACAAGTGGTAGAACGTGTAGTCTGCCAACAGGGGTTGTTATCCCCATTTTCAGATGAGAAGACTGAGGCAGTAAGAGGGTTTGGGTGATAGTTTTGAGGTTATATAGAGTGTGAGAGTTGGAAGTCAAAATTAGGTCTCCCATGGTCTAGGGTTAATGGGCAACCCTTTAGTTCCCAATGATTTCCATTTTCTCCCCGTAAAATGAGTGGGATGGATTAGATCAAGAGTTCTTAACCTGGTGCCCATGAATTTGGGCATGTTTTTTAAAAAGTATATATTTTGATCATTGTATTTCAATATAGTTGGTTTCCTTTGTAATCCTGTGGATTTTATTTTATGCATGTAGAAGCATTCAGAAGAGGGATCCATAGGCCTCACCAGATGCTGCCAAAGGGTCCAAGACACACAAACATGTTAGTTCATCAGGTCTTTGTTGTTGCTGTTTGGTCACGTATGAATCTTCGTGACCCCATTTTTTTTGTTTGTTTTGTTTTTTTGTTTTGTTTTGGTGTTTTTTTTTTGGTAAAGATCCTGGAGTGGTTTGCCATTTCTTTCTCCAGTTGTTTTACAAATGAGGAAACTGAGACAAACAGGGTTAAGTGACTTGCCCAGGGTCACATAGTTAGTGAGTGTCTAAGGCCAGATTTGAACTCAGGAAGATAAGTCTTCCTGATTCCAAGTCCAGTGCTCTAACCACCATACCACCTAGCTGCCCCTCATCAGGTCTAGATGATCTCTAAGGAGGAAAGAGAGTTGAACATAGGAACACCTGAATTTGAATCAAGCTTCAGACAATTTACTAGCTATGTGACCTTAGTCACTTAAGCTCTCTGGGACTCAGTTTTCTCATCTGTGAAGTGAGGAGGTTGGTTAGGTTTAATCATCTCTAAGATCCATTCCAGTCTAAAGTCTGTGATCCTGTCATTTGATGGTCTTATAATCCATGGATTATGGACTCCCCAAGTGCTCAATCAGCAAGGAATCATAAAATCCCCTAGACTCTGGTTTTCCCGAAGGGCATGGCTGGCTCTCTATAAAAGTGAGACAAAATCAAGGGAAGAAGGTCCCTTCTGTCCCTCAGGTCCCAGGAGCTTTCACTGTACCTAATGTGGTACCAGCCCTTTCTCTGCTCCCCGTTCTCCCTTCACTGAAGCTGGCTTGGCCCCATTAGGGGCATGGCTGCAAACATCTCTCCTTCATTACCAACAGCGTCATCCGTGGCTCACTTCCTGGAATGAAAACCCAGGAAACAAATTGAGAAATAATCCCAGCTCTCTGTCTGACTTTTCTCACCAGGCTGTCCGGCTGGCTTACCCTCTTTCCAGGTGCTCATTCTCCTTCCCTCTCTCTGTTGTTTAAAATCAGTGGCTGCTTGGATCCTGGGAGCGGAGTATCTTCTGGGCTGCACTTGGACCCCTTGCCAGGGAGAGAGGCCAGGGACAGGTTGAAGGGGCTACAGGCCTTTTATGTTCTGCTCATGCCAAGCAGGCATGAGGGAGACCTGAACCTCATCCCACGATCACATTGTGAATGACACGGCTAACATTGCCTGATTGTAAGAGCCTCCCTGAAGACCCACTGTGCCCAAATTCTCCTCTCATAACCCAGGGTTGGAAGGAGTCAAAGCCAGAAAGGACTATCAGAGAGTGACTGAGCCTGACAGAAAGGCAAAGTTCCTTCCCCAAGGCCGCATAGTAAATTAATAGCAGAGTTGGGACTGGAACCCAGATCACAGAATCACAGAGTGTCAGAGTTGGAAGGGAACTTGGAGGTTGTCTAATCCCACCCATGCTGGGAAAACAATTTCCTTTACATCATATTCAGTAAGTGACTCATGGAATGTCAGGACGAGACAGACACTCATAAAGCTCAGAGCTGGGAGGGAGCTTAGAACATAGAATGTCAATGCTGGGAGGGCCCTTAGAACACAAAATGTCAGAGGTGAGAGGGGTCTTAGAACACAGGATGTCAGAGCTGGGAGGGCCCTAGAACACAGAATGTCAGAGGTGGGAGGGCCCTTAGAACACAGAATATCAGATCTGGAGAAGTCTGTAGAACACAGGATGTCAGAGCTAGGAGGGCCCTGAGAACAAAGAGTGTCAGAGCTGGGAGGGGCCTTAGAAGAGATAATGTTGGAGCTGGGAAGGACCTTTGAGCATAGGATCATAGATAAATGGAATGAAAATGAATAAACAAGTGAAAAGAGTTTATTAAGCACTGTGCTAAGGGTTGAGAACATGTATAAAATCGATAGTCCCTGCCCTCAAAGAGCTTACAGTTGAACAGGCAGATCAAAAACATAGTGAGTAGTGGTGAACAGGGAAGGGTGTTTTGTTTTAGTAAGTCACAGGGATAGGGAGCAGAGCCATAGGGAAGTCGATCTGCATACCCTTTCCAGAAGCAATGGCATTACTAATTAGAGTTCTCAGAGAAAGAGGAGAGGGGTAAGGTACTTGGCAACAGAGCATATGGTAAGATGGCCAGGTGGATAGCAGGAAGCAAGGTAGGATGTCTGTTACCCATAGATAAATTTGGAGTTTGCTCTCACTGATTCGCTTCTCTGGCCAGCTGGGCCCTAGGGTGGGAATTCCTAGAAGAGAGCAACTAATCCAATACCCTAATTTTAAAGTTGAGAAAACTTGAGTCTCAAAGAAGGGAAGTAACTTGCCCAAGAGGCTGCTGGACTCTCCAAACTGAAGGCAGTCAGAAATTCGTAGGGTGTTGGCTAGGATGCTCTCTCATCTTCTCTAGGTCCTAGGTGGCCCACCTCTGATGCTATATACTTTAAGGGGGAGGGGGAGGAGGAAGGGATAGGAGAGAGATCTGGGTGGGGGATGATGAATAGGGGAGGGGGGGAGAGACAGAGATAGAGAGACAGAGAGAGAGAGAGGGAGGAGGGAGAGAGGGGAGGAGAGAGAAAGAGAGCAAAAGGGGAGCTCGGGATTAATTCTGTCAGGTATTGCAAATTATATGCAAATAGGTGAAAATGATACAAATGTGACCCTCCTTTCTTACTCACTGGGGGAATCTCGGTGGAGACTTCACTGCAGAAATTCTGGTAGGCACAGACCAGGT